TATCATTTGTTCCGCACCTTCTTGAAGCATTTATGTCATGGGTTTTGCCCGGAAACTAGGCATGAGGACGAGTCATAAATTTCACAGAGGAAATGAGTATTATAGATGATGCAATATAAGTAGTGGTTAAATTAACTCCTCTTGTGGATAATTTAGAAATAGAAAAAATTTCGTTGAGAAAAAAAAAAAGATCGGGTAGAGGAAATGAGAGATCAAGGTGAAGATATGTAGGGAAAAATATACTGGATGAGATAGGTTAAATAAAATAATAATCAGGAAACAAATACAGAGAAATAACAAGGAATAAAAAATCCTAGTAAAGGAATTTTTAATTCATAGTCCATTCTTTTTGTTGGTAGGTACTCGCCTTTTTTGTGAAATCTTCTCTCGTGCGGCTAAAATCACTTCAGTTCAAGTGTTGATTTCTTACATGGCTAACCACCATTGGCCCTTGCAACCTCCAAGGTATTTTCTCAGGGGAAATCCAAGTTGGTTTGTCAATTGAAGAAGCCTTTATATTAGCTAAAACAGTCTCTTAGAGCATGGTTTGGAAAATTCAGTGAAATTATGCTGGAGTTTGGTTTACATCAAAGTGAAATCGACCATGGTGTTTTCTCCTTAAGTCTACAGCTGAAAACTGTTTTTTTTTTTGAAAGAAAAGTGTAGAAATATATTGATGTGAGGCATCAAGGGGATGCCGCCCATGTACAAAAGATTTACAAGTCAATAATAATATCTACAACTGACCCTAAATCTTCAAAATGGTTAATGTCATGTTCCAATACAGTGGAACCAAAAAGGTGTAGCCATTTGCTCACAATGTTGCCAAAAATTTCTTCCTTTCCTTCAAAGACTCTATTGTTTCTCTCTTTCCAGATAACCCAGAAAATTGTGAGCAGAATGAGTCTCAATTTCTTGTTTCTCCTGCACACCAGATCCCAAGCAAATAATTCTTCTTGAACAGATCTGGCCATTACCCAACTAATGTCAAGTAGACTATATACCATAGTCCACAGCTTGTGAGTGATAAGGCACCAAAGCAAAAGGTGGTTACTAGTTTCAGCATTGTTTTTGCATAGATAACATCTGTTCGAAAGGGGAAAGCCTCTTTTCATGAGGTTGTCAGCGGTCAAAATGCGTTCCTTGGAAGCTTCCCAAGTGAAGAAGGAAATTTTGGTGGGAGCATTTGCCCTCCAGATCATTTTGGCAGGAAAAGAATTTACCACAATTCTGTTATGTCCCGCAAGATAATTATAGTATGATTTAATGCTGAAGGAGCCTTTGTTTTCCAACTTCCAGATCAACCTATCATCAGTGTTGTTGAGCTGAATGGTGTTCAATACTGCCAACAAATTCTCGTATTCCACTATTTCCCAATCTTTTAGATTTCTATTGACCACAATGTTCCAACCAATGCCATTATTTTTGTCAAAAACTTCCTCAATTGTCATCTGTTTATCCTTAGCGAGGGCAAAAATAAGAGGAAACCTGATTTGCAGATCTCCACACCAGAAATCAGACTAGAACTTGACTTTGTTGCCTTTTCCTACTTTCCATCCAGAACACTCAAGAACAGAATGATTTGTGTTAGAGATCCCCTTCCACAAGTTTATACCAAACTTACTTCTCTTCAACAACATCTGGTCCCGTCTTGCCTTCAGATTCCACTTGCAATCCACCACTTTTTTCCATAAACTGTTAGTGCATTTCAGTATCTCCAAGCCCACTTACCATGCAAAGCCTTATTCAGAATTTTTAGGGACCTAAGCATAAGACCCCCGGATTTGATGGGACTCTTAACCTCGGCCCAATTTACAAGGTGGAACTTTTTTTGCTATCCTCATCCCCCCAAAGGAAATTGTATTGAATTCTTTCAAGTCTTTAGCCACTTTTCCCGGAATAGTAAGGGTAGAAAGGTAATAAGTTGGGAGGTTGGATAGTGTACTCTTGATAAGGGTCAATCTCCCACCTTTAGACAGATAATTTCTCTTCCATGAAGCAAGACGTTTTTCAAAGTGATCAATAACCGGTTCCCAACCATTTCCATCCTTATGCTTCGCTCCAAGAGGTATATCAAGGTATTTAATAGGTAGATTTGCCGTTTTGCATTCCAGAACCCTGGCCAGGTCTTCCACCTTGCAGTCATGCCCAATCCCAACCAAGTCAGACTTGCTTAAGTTGATTCGTAAACCCGAAACAGTTTGGAAGCAAAGAAGAATATATCTTAAATGTAGGAGCATGCTAACTTCCGGTTGAGAAAAAATGAGAGTATCATCAGTGAAGAATAAGTGAGTAATGTCCATTTTCTTTTCATTGCCCACTGAGATTCCTTTGATGAGATTTGAGTTCTTAGCTTGTTCAATGAACTTATTTAATGCTTCCATTACTTAATGAAAAGTAACGGGGAAAGGGGGTCGCCTTGTCTTAAGCCTTTAGATGATTTAAGGAATGTAGACGGGCCGTCATTTATCATAACCACAAAACTTGTTTTGGTGATACAAGTTTTGATCTATTTTCTCCATTTTTTACCGAAACCGAACCTGTCAAGCATGTAATCAACAAAATTCCAGCAGACATTATCAAAGGCTTTCTCCATATCCAATTTACATAAAATTCCTCTCCTCTCAATTCTGGACAGCTCATCAACGACTTCATTAGCTATCATTATGGCATCGGTGATTTGCCTACCTTCAACGAAAGCTTGTTGACTTTCCTCGACGATGGATTTTAGGACCTTGAAAAGTCTTCTGGCCAAAACCTTAGATAAAAGTTTATAAACACAACCCACAAGACTTATGGGTTTAAAATCAGAAAAGCAGTTGGCACCTTCCTTTTTGGGGATAAGAACAAGAAAAGTAGAGTTGATGGTTCTAACAAAGGATCCATGCTTATGGAAATCATTGAAGAAATTTAGAACATCGTCTTTTATCACATACTCGAAATCTTGTAGGAATTTAAAATTGAAACCGTCGGGTCCTAGTTCTTTATCACCATCACAATCGTTTGCTGAAAACTGTTGCTCATCATGTACGTAGATGATATTGTTATAAAAGGCGACAGTAGTAATGGGATTAAGAACGATGATTTCAAACTAACAGTTTGGGGATGTTACACTATTCTTCGGTATTGAAGTAGCTAAATCAAAATTGCGGATTTGTTTGTCCTAAAGAAAGTATGTTTTTTGATCTTATGAATGAGACAAGGATTTTGGGATCTAAACCAGTTGATATTCCTATGGGTCCTAATCTCAATCTTGCTATAGATAAGGGCGAACTATTGGAGTACCCTGGCGTATATAGGAAGTTAGTTGGAAAATTGAATTATCTTACTATGACTCATTCAAATATTCCATCTACTACACGTATCATAAGTCAATTTATGGACTCTTCTTGGACTAGTCACTGGAATGTGTTGTGCATATTTTGAGTTGTATGAGGTACACCTAGGTTGTGGATTACTTTGTCGGAATCATAGATATACTTTGGTCCAAAGTATTCAGATAGTAATTGGGTTGATTCTTCTTCTGACTGATACTCCACCATAGGTTATCATGTGTTAATTGGTAGTAACATGATATCTTGGAAGATTTAGTTGCCAGATCTAGTGTTGACTCAGAATATCGAGCTACTGCTCATACTACTTGTGACTTAATTTGGTTGCTATGTGATAGCTGAAAGAAGGTACATATTGCTTAAAAACATCTTTGAGAGAAGGAAATATATTAAAGTTGTTTGTCATTGTATTCGCGCAAAGCTTCGACAGATGTAATTCAGACTACTCACACAAGATAGCAAAATTGTTCCCAATATCCTTAGGAGGAGCTCGTGTTAAATCTATTTCTATTAACCTTGGGGCATATGATATACATGCTCTTACCTGAGGAATATTAGAATATATTGTATATTCCTAAGCAATACAGTTCTTTCTTATTTAGGTTAATTGTTCACAGTTTTCCTTTTCTTGACATGGAGATCCTTATTAATATATACATATGGGTTTTTTCCTAATATAATGGGGATATCATAATATTTCTTGCAATAAACATAAAACCTCAATAACAGTTTCAGAATTTATAGTTCAGATGTCATCTGATGATATTCAGAAATATTTGCTAATGATTCGTGGAAAACGTTGAACTAAGTGACCTAGATGATGGCTTTTCAATTTTAATATTACTAGAACATAAACAGTCAGTACGAAGAATAACAATCTTGTCAGCAAGGCCTTATTCCATAGATTTCAATAATTTTGGTAATGATATCAATAAAGGAAAATTAATATAGGACTTGGGAGTAAATTGTGCTTATGGTTCATTATGATATTCATAGATTGATTCCTTAATGATACAAGAGCTTCTTTTGTAGGTCGGGATGGCTGCTACTCTTGCTGGAGTATGTCAGGTCCCTCTTACTTCAGTTTTGCTGCTTTTTGAGCTAACACAGGATTATCGAATAGTTTTGCCCCTACTTGCGGCTGTTGGGATGTCTTCATGGATTACATCTGGACAAACAGAGAGAAGAGATGCTGGAGAGAGGCAAGAAATGAAAGAGGGAAACATTCATGCAACTCAACAACCTGAAACATCTTCCTCTGGACCAAGTAGACTATTTTCCGACTATGTATCCAATCAAGAGGTATCTTACACTAGTAACCTTTGTGAAGTTGAGGATTCACTCTGCCTTGATGATTCTGATATTCAACCTGAGGAGTTCAAAGATATTTTTGTTTCAGAGGCCATGAGAACAAGATATGTCACTGTTCTGAACAACACTTTGCTTACAGAAGCAGTGACTCTCATGCTTGCAGAAAAACAATCTTGTGCCATGATTGTTGACATTGACAACATATTAATTGGTGTACTGACACTCGAAGACATTCAAGAGTTTAGCGAATTTGTCAAGGCAGGAAACAGAGCACCTAAGGTATGTGTGCCCCATATTAAAATTATTCAAGATTGAAAATTTCTTTAAGACATACTGAATTGCATAAATTTGTGATTTGAAAAGTCCTTGTTGAAGTCTCGTGCTGGCGAGGAAGAAATGGAGCAGAGCATGAGTATAAAACCTAGGGCAAAATCACAATTTTACTCCATGTTGTTGTTTATTGCAGTTCCTTTACTGTCTTTTAATAAAAAAAGTAAGATCAGTTTTGTGGTTAATTTTGTCATCTATTAAATTGTATTTTTCTGAGAATATTTGCACTTACCTAGGGTGTTAAACTAGAAGTGATTAGGACAAGTAGCAGCTAAACTAACTTTTCCAACAAATAGTTCAGAAATAGAGGAAATTTAGGTTAAAAACAAAAAAATGTAGACAAGCTAGAGGAATAAGTAAGGATCAAGGTGAGTAAATGTAGAGAAGTAAAATGAACGTTATAAGTTAGATAAAATAGCAACATAAAGAGCAAAATAGAGAGAGAATGAAAAATAAAACTCTAGCAAAGAAATTCTTATTTCATCCTCTCTCATTCGGTTGTCAGTAGTTTCTAATCCCTTATATAGAAATTAGTTACAATTAATAAGGAAAATTATGGAAGAAAAAATCTAAAATATTCTAACTCCTATAATATTTAAATCCATCATAAGGAAACTGAAATATTATAATATCTCAACTAAACTTATATAACCTAGAAAACATAAAAATATTAAAATAATAATGATTATGAAAAAACTCTTTGATAGAAAATTTATTCTAAATTAAGGTCTTTTGTTCTTCATCATTCTACTCCCCTTGTTGAAAATTAATATCGAGGTTTAAAGTGGTGGAGCATCAAATTAGAAAAGACTCAGCAAATACAGTTCAAACTCTTGAGAAAGTTAAGATTTTTGATAACCTTGAAACAAAATTGAAAGTTAAGAAAAGTTATAGGTTCTTCAGGATCACAAAATCAATGAGGCAAAATGTAATTATCCCAAGAAACTTCTTTAATAGTCATTGTGAATGAGAACCACTTGAATAGCATGAGATAAAACAAGATTGTTGAAAGGTTGAAGTTGCTCACCATCATCAGCATGTATGGAAACAATATCATAAGGACCAATATGTTTTGAGTTGTTATTGATGGTTCAAAAGAAATTTCAGAATTTTCTCTTCTAATACGTGAGAACTATTAGTTCTACTCTTAAGCTTAAGTTTTAATTCTTCTAGAACAATCCTATATTTTCCTAACTTTTAAATATTTAACTGACGAAAATTATCATACAGATAACTACAATTGAACGGGTTTTTAACATAGACAATATTTTATATACATTGATACCAGATATCAATCAATTGTGAATGTATCTCAATACTCTCTTATGCATCCGTAGAGACCAAAAAAACTTGGTACGGCATATCATATCTTATTGAGGATATTATATAATAGATTGTCATAAAAGATTTATTGGATTTCACCCCGTGTTAAATTTGATATGCTCCTAAAATGATTGTGAAGTTTTTGAGAATGGGAAAATTCTTAAAATTTTCTCTTATTTCTTTCATTCATCGGGTTGCCATTATATAGGCGGATGGAGGAGAATAAAACAAAAATAACAACATTTCTCAACAGAAGGAATAAACATAAAATGGCAGAGGGCATCCGCAGCTGCCATGCTCGACACCTGCACAAAAAGACAAAAAAAGAGAATAACAGAAGAAAGGGTAAAATGGTAAAAAGATGGGGAGAGACTAGTTTTATAATATTTCTACACTCCCCCTCAATCTAGATTCCATAAATGTTGAGTAAACTCAGATTGGATATTAATTCATTGAAGGATTCCTTTGGTAGTGTCTTTGTGAGAATATCTGCTGTTTGTTGTCTAGTAGGAATATGTAACAGAGTGATGAAATGATCTTCAATCTTTTCTTTGATGAAGTTCTTATCTATTTCCACATGCTTAGTTCGATCATGGTGTACAGGATTTCTAGCCATACTGATTGTTGATTTATTATTGCACCATACTTTCATAGGAGTAGGAATCAAAATTTTTAATTCCATCAAAATCCTTTTCAACCAAACACCTTCACATATTCAATGAGCAAGTGATCAGAATTCAGCTTCTACACTACTTCGTGATACAACAAATTGTTTTTTACTGTGCTAAGTAACTAAATTCCCCTCAAACATAGGTACGATACCCAGAAGTAGATTTCTTGTCAGTCATAGACCCTGCCCAATATGCATTTGTGTAAACTTCAATATCTTTGTTCATGGTTTTCTGGAAGAGTAATCCCTGCCCTGGAGTCTTTTTAAGGTATCTCAGGGTTCTATATACTGCATTCATGTGATCATCTGTGGGTTGATTCATAAATTGACTTACAGTACTTATTGTAAAACTGATGTCAGGTCTAGTGTGTGCAAGATAGATGAGTTTGCTCACAAGTCTCTAATACCTTTCTTTATCAACAGGTTTACCTTTTAGTTAGAGCCCAAGTTTGACAGTTGGCTCCATAGGTGTTTCTGCTTGTTTACACCCAAACATCTCTGTTTCTTTCAAGAGGTCAAGGATATATTTCCGCTGTGACATAGATATTCCCTTTTTAGATCGAGTAAATTCCATTCCAAGAAAATATCTGAGTATTCCAAGGTCTTTGATATCAAATTCTGTAGCAAGAAAGGATTTGAGTTTCTGAATCTTCTCTATGTGATCTCCTGTTAAAATGATGTCATTCGCATACACAATTAGGACAACTTTCTTACCAGAGACATAATGCTTGACAAACAGGGGTGTGATCAGACTGGCACTGCTCGTAGCCCACATGTTTCACTGCCTTAATGATTTATCAAACCAAGCTCTCGGAGACTGTTTTAATCCTTAGAGTGATTTTTTGAGTTTACATACCTTGTGTGAGTCATATGACATCTCAAGACCCAATGGGACTTCCATGTAGACTTCTTCTTCTAAGTCGCCATTAAAAAAGACATTTTTCACATCAAGCTGATAGAGAGGCCAATCAAGGTTAGAAGCAAGTGAAAGTAATATTTGGATAGTATTATGCTTAGCCACAGGGGCAAATGTCTCCTGATAGTGTATCCCATAGGACTGAGTGAAACCTTTAGTCATTAGGCGAGCCTTGTATCGATTTACACTCCCATTTGGATTATATTTTGTAGTAAAAATCCACTTGCATCCTACTTTACACTTTCTTAGAGGCAAGTCTGTCAATTCCCAAGTCTTATTCTTTTCCAGAGCCCTGATTTCTTCTTAAATAGTATCTCTCCATTCTACCAATATGAGTGCCTCATGAAAAGTGTTTGGTTCGGTGGGACTGTTGTCTAATTTGCTCACAAATGCATGATACTTTGACGACAAATTGTTAAATGAGACATAATTCTGTATAAGGTATTTAATGCAAGACCAAAGACCTTTCTACATAGCAATATGTAACTCAGTGTCATGATCAGAGATTACAATGGCATCATAAATTATAGTAGAATCATTATCTGTTGTGTCCTCACTACTTGGTACAGGAATAGATTCATGACAGTGCGTGATTGATTCAAGTACTTTACCAACTAGAGCTTTATTCCTTCTAGTGTAGACACGTAACTATTTGTTGATTGCAGGTAGTATAGGTTCAGGTTCAGACTCTTTGTTACTGGTTTTACTCATAGATTTAGGCAACTCAGGAGTAGGAAACTCAGGAACAACAGAAGGAGGTAATATGTTAGGAGACATGAGAGAAGATGTGTTCATATCTCACAATTGATATTCTTGAATAAAATGCTCCCTTTGAATATCACTAGTGGGATAGAGAAGCTGATTTTCAAAAAATGTAGCATCCATAGTGTTGTAGAAGCGACGGGTTTTCGGACAAAAATATTTGTATCCTTTCTTATTGGGTGAGTATCCAATAAAGACACATTTTAGGGATTTTGGGTCAAGTTTTCCTCTGAGGTGAGTATGAATGTGGACATAGGCCGAACAGCTAAAGACTCTGATAGGAAGAGTATTTAGAACACGGGAGTGGGGAAAGGCTTCTAGTAAATTGTCATGGGGTGATTGAAAATTGAGTATACGGGAGGAATTGGGTTTATTAAGTATGTGACTGTGAGTACTGCCTCTCTCCAAAGATATTTTCGGACATGGGTAGTGAACATGATTGATCGGACGACTTCAAGGATATGTCTATTTTTTCTCTCAGTGACACCATTTTATTGTGGGGTGTTTACACAAGAGTTTTGGTAAATAATGCTCTGATTAAAAAGTTATTTTCTCAATGTGGTTTCAAAATACTCATCCGTTATTAGATTTAAACACTTGTATATTGGTATAAAATCGGTTTTGAATTACAGTATTGAGTTGTCGAAAAATTGGTCTAATTTTAGTTTTTTCTTTTATGAGAAAAATTCAGATAATTTTGGTGTTGTCATCAATAAATGATACAAACCATTTTGTTCCGGTGATATTCGTAACCCGTGAGAGATCCCATACATCATTATGAATTAATGAAAATGGTTTTGAAGGTTTATAAATAAAATTTGGATGAGTTTTGAATGTGTTTAGAAAATTGACACACCTCACACTGGAATGAAGTTAGATTTTTATTTCGAAACAAAGCTGAAAATAACTTTTTCAGATACAAGAAATTTGGATGTCCTAAGTGATAATGCCATAACATGATGGAACTTTCACTGTTCAAATGGCTTACAGATTCATAGTTTGTACATAATGCATGATGAATTTATCCACTAGAAGGAGTTCTATTATCTTGTAGGAGGTGTAGGCCAGAATCCATTTTACCATTGCCAATTGTTTTTCTTGAGTTCAAGTCCTAAAATTTCCTTAGATTTGAGTTAAGTTTAGCAACACAATGCAAATCTTAAGATAATTTGCTTACTGATAAAAGATTGCAATTCAACTTCGCGACATAGAGTACTGAATACAAAGTCAACCATGTTGACACAACAATTGACTCTATCCCTGCCACTTTAGAAATTGACCCATCGGCAATCTGGATGGTGAAATCCTTACACTGATTATAATTTTGAAAGAGTGATATATCTCCTGTCATATGATCCAACGCCCCAGAGTCTACAATCCACATTTGCCATTTTGTGGAATAAGCTGAAGAACCAGCTAAACTTTTACTTTTGTATGCAGTGGAGGCATTACGAAGGGTCTTTTGTGAAAAAAGCTTCTGCAACACCTCCATCTGCTCGGGGCTGAAAGGAGAAGCTACTGTGGGAGCAATAGGTGAGTCCACTGTCATCACAAGGTTGCCTCGATGTGGTTCCGGCCTTGTGGTCTTTTTGTCGTTTAGTTTTCCGTGGAGCTTCCAGCATTTCTCATGGTAGTGACCTTGTTTTCTGCAAAATTCGCACCAAGGTCTTCCTTTCCTCCTCTGAAAATCAGTCGTCCGAGTTGTAAGAGCAGCGACGGTCTCAGTTTGGTGTGCACTGAATTGGGGCTCACCTATTACTGCTTTCTTCCGAGTCGTGAGGGCTGAAACAATCTCTGTTGGACCAAAGTGAGCTTCTCCTAGCATGACCTTCTTCCTGCTTTCTTCATGATGAACTTCGGAGAACGCCTCTCGAATGCTCGGCAGTGGCTTGATGCCCAGAATACAACCGCGCACTTCGTCCAAATTTTTATTCAAACCCATTAAGAATTTGAAGATGCGCTTTTGTTTGGTGATGAACTTAAATAGCTGGTCATCTTCGGGGCAACTCCATTGACATTTTTCGAAGGTGTCGAGTTGTTGCCAGTTCCGAGTGAGGGTGTTGTAGTACTGGATCACTGTCAACTCTCCCTGTCGCAGGTTGTGGAGATGAGTTTCTACCTTGAAGATGGCAGACGTGTTGTCGCGGTGAGTAGAATTCACAAGCGGCTTCCCAGATGTCGTGCGCTGTCTCATACAGCAGGAAGTTTTCTCCAATCTCGGTGGTCATAGAATTCACCAGTTAGGACATGACGAGGTTGTTCTCCACCTTCCATGAACGAGCACTTGGGTCGTTGGCAGGAGGTGCTGAGAGTTCTCCAATGAGGCATTCATCTCTGCCTTTTCCCCGGATGAATATCAACACAGACGATGACCATTAGAGATAATTGCTTCAATTTAATCTGTGCCCAGTGACAAACGAAGAAGTCTGATCAACCAGGGTATGGTTTATCAGCACGGGAAGGTAGGATTCCAAAAGAACTTCAGAGGAGAGGAGGTCCGCTCATCCGATTCCATTTTATGCGAACGAGATGATGATTTCGGATCAGGTATGCTCTGATACCATGAAGTTTTTGAGAATGGAAAAATTCTCAAAATTTTCTCTTATTTCTTTCATTCATCGGGTTGCCATTATATAAGTAGATAGAGGAGAATAAAACAAAAATAACAATCTTTCTCAACAGAAGGAATAAATGTAAAATGGCAGAGGGCATCTGCAGCTGCCATACTCGACACCTGCACAAAAAGACAAAAAAGGAGAATAACAGAAGAAAGGGTAAAATGGTAAAAAGATGGGGAGAGATTGGTTAACAATATTTCTACAGATTGTAATATACAAATTTAACCAACATGATGTAGTCGTGAAATTTGAGTCTTTTATGTTTTGTTCTTTTCTTTTTCCTTTTTGCAATGTAAAAGTAATAGAAGGTAAGAATAGAAGTTGAGCTTTGATACTCCAATGTGAGACGAGCAACATTAGATGATTTGTTCCATATATAATTCAAAAATGGAAAAACCTTGGGTGAGAAATCGAAAAATATAGATAGGTAAGAAGAATTTAGGGATCAAGTTGAATAAGTATACAAAGAAATATATTAGATGGAAGAACAACGAAAAGAACAAACAAACACAGAGAGATAATAAAAATAAAACAAAATAAAGGAATTCTTAATTCATCATCCTCCCTTTTCTTTGGTGGTAGCTACTACTGGCTATGTAGGGTATTAGTTACACCTAGTAAGGAACGTTATAAGAGAAGAAATTTAGAATATCCTAATTACTATAATATTTAAAGTCCATTTGAAAAAAAAAAAAAAATACTAAAATATTGTGATATCTTAACTAAACTCAAACAGTTTAAATCACTTAAAAATACAAAATAATAATAATTTGCAAAAGTTTCTTTAATAGAAAATATTTTCCAAATTAAGATCTTGTTTTGCATCGTTTTACTCAATTTGGTGAAAACTCGACATTGAGGTCTGAAATAGTGGAGAACCAAGATAGAGAAATGCTTAAACATATTTTTCAGAATCTTTAAAAAGTTGAGGTTTGTAATAGTCTTGAAATAAGAAATTGAAAGTTAACCGAAATTTTAAGCTCCTTAGGATCATGAAACAAATGAGGCATAATGCAATTATGTTGAGAATTTTTTTTTAATGTAGTCATTATGAATGAGAACCACTTAAATATCGAGAGGTAAAACAAGATTGTTGAAAAGATAAGTTGCTCAATATCATCAGCATGAATAGAAACAACTTTAGGAAGAGCCAATGTCTTTTGAGCTACTATTGATGGTTCAAAGCAATTTCAAACTTTTCATCTTCTAACATAGAAAAAGAGTTAGTTCTATTCTTAAGCAACGCTCTAATTCTTATAGAATATCTCATGCCTTCATAATTTTTGGTTATAAGGTTATTTCACACAATATTTAATTGACAATAGTTAGAAGGACATTGTTCAGTCTCTTGTTTACTACATATCCCTTTTAATAACTCCAACGAGCGTTGCTAAGAAACTGGAAGTAATTTAGTGCAAATTTCTATAGGAGGACATGAAGTAGAGACGGAAATACTACTTGGTGACATGAAAGGTGATTAAAAGATTGTTAAATCTGGGAGGATTTGGTTTGAGATGTGTGGTTGAGATGAATCAGGCGTTTCAAGGAATGTAGATGTGGTGATTTATGAAAGAGAGGGTATGCTGTAGAGGAGGGTTATAGAGATAAAATTTGGTTTGGTGGATATAGAGAGGTACTCCGGAGTTTTGGCTAAACCGCATGGCAAGGGGCTGTGGAAAAAGATATATATGGAAAGAGATAAATTTCGGGAATGTATCAAATGGAGGCTTGATGATGGAGAGAGAATTGGTTTCTGGACGGATGTTTCGATTGAAGGGGGAGCTTTGAGAGACAGTTTCGTGTAGATTTTTACTATTGCATGGTATAAGAACATCTCTGTTGAAGAGTCTTATAGAGATAGAGGGGGAAGGAAGGGATTGACATGTCTCTGTCTTGAGGAATCTTAATGACTGAAAAATAAATGAATATGAATCACTCTTGAGCTCACTGTCTTCTGTATTTCTAAACGAGAATTATGACCAACCGGTTTGGTCCCTTAGTTCAACAAGAATTCTCATGGTTAGTTCTTTTCACAGACATTTGATTACGAAAGAGCCCATTTTGAACAGTTTTCTATTTAGGCAAATTTGGAAGGTGAATGCACCTCTAAGATTACTTCCTTTGGTTAGGAAGTAGGTCGTGAATGTATTCTGATTATTGATAAGTTTATGAGAAGGGGAAAAATCATGGTAAATTGATGTTGCTTATATAAGAGGGTGGAGTGGACCTATGACCATATTTTACTTTGGTGTCCCATAATGTATAGTCTATAGTCAATGACATATGGGATCCTGGGTTCAGTTGGGTTATGACTGGTAATATAAGGGATGAGATTTGGACATAGAAGGGTATTACTAGTTGGAAAAAGCATTTGTGGCTCATTCCTCTTGCAATGTTTTGAGTTATATGGAAAGAAAGAAATATGAGA